AGATCCAACAGTCATCGTGTCAGCAGCTAGATGACTCAAACAAAATAGCAACACATACACTGCCATAGCTCCACACATGCCCTCGTCCGAACCTAGCAAGCCACTTGGAAGTCACGAGGGAGCCAAGTCCTGCTCGCAGGTTCTCTTGGCTTTCCTTCACGTGAACACGTCCAGGAATCCAGTATCCGCAGCCGCCGCAGTAGTACCGCTGTACTACTGTGTAGTATAGTAGCAATAAATCCAGGTTGTACCCATCCGTTGTCCAAAGATTTGTGATTCCGCGAGAGAAGGAGATACCACCGCCGTCGAAGGGTCGAAGGCACTGTCTGCCAGATGTAGGCTGTGAGATGAATGGAGCCACCTATGTGTTCTTAGCCTGCCCGCCCGTGAGGGTCGTGCCGAGGCCGCGGCATGTGTGCGTGTGTCTTTGCCCTCGTGTGTTTTTGGCTTTGCTGTTCCCTTCTAGTGCGACTACTTCCTATGCCTCCGAGTCCTACAGGTTGATAGAACCAACACAAGCAGGACGATACCAAGAGAGGCAGGCGAAGCTGCATGCAGCTGCTATCATCGACAGACTTGGTGTTGAGAGCGAGAAAATACAGCAGGAGCAGCAGCAGCGCGCAATTTTTTTGTTTTCCCGCTCTCACAACCGCCCTGCTGTTTGCCCATTGCCCTTTTTCTTTTTTTCGGCAACAGAACGGGCGGGTCCGCCGTCGAAGCGGGCGGGTCCGCCGTCGAATCGGTGGGATCCGCCATCTATGACCGGTCGGGCTGTGGGGCACTGGCTTGTTGTGTGTGCCAGCAGCCTCAGTGAGCGCAGTGACGGGTGTCCACCTCGCGCATTGCTGCGTGAACGCGCTTGACCATATTTGTCCAGTCTGTCCGTGTGTGTTCGTGTGTCTTTTTATTTTGATTCAAATTCCAAACGTTTTTACTGGTCCAAGAAGGAAAAGCGCAGTCTATTTGCCACGAAAAGTTCACCCGGTTTGGGACACATTTTTGGCCTCAAAATAGGGGTAACCCCAGGGTCTAACTGTACATCTCATTTTAAGCACTGTAAATATGTTCGACGTCAACAAACGGAACAAACGGTTGCCAGTCGTCTCGGCGATGCTGACTTTTCGTACCCCACCCTTCCTTAGCAAAAGACGCGTAGTTTGAGGAATAGCATGCCTACATTGGCCCCGGGGATGGTGAGCTATCTTCCCCTGAATTTTAGGACGCAACCCCGCTTTAAGGACGATTTTTTTCCGGGAAAAACCATATGCGTCGTTTAAGCGGGGTCGACTGTATGTCCTCTTGCTTGCTGACGTTGAGGTACAACTGCAGAACTGATGGTGTCCTCGTGCTCGCAAGACAACTGCCTAGAATTCGAGGCAACATGGCAGCTGTAGGGTAGCTAGTCGAGCAAACAATACATGTTCATATACGATGATGATGTACTTCACTACATGCGTAATATGCCGGTATGCTGTAGTACGTGACGCCTAGTATCACCCCCCCCTCGCGGTTTGCCTTCTTGACTACTGCTGTTCGTGTGGGTGGATAGCACCCAAGGACAACAAGCAGGGTGCCGTCTCTCGCGTGGTTTTTCGTGAATTATTCCCCCAAAACGTACAGCAGTGGACCAGAGCCCGAAATATGGCTGAGTTGGCAAAGTAAAAACACCGACATCAACCCCCTCAATCCGAGTCAATCCCCAGGAGCCGCATGCCTAACCCTCATTCCGTGTTTCTGGCCTCTTGTTACCGCTGTGTCCCGCCGGCCGCTCATTGTTTACGTCCAGGGATGCAACACGTGCGAGGACATTCAGTGCGGAGGAAGTGTGGGTGAGATGCCTACTTCAAGAAAAATTGCACTTTTTAGATAAAAGTCTTATGCTCTCGAATCCGTCTCGTCAAGCAGCATCCCGTCACCCGCATACTGTACGTTGGCATCGCTCGCTAGGTGTCTCATGTAGGACACACGTTCAGGCGCGCCTTTTGTTTGCGTTCAGTGATGTGGAGGCAGCACACCATCGTTAGTAGTCATCGTGAACAAAGCGGATTCACAACATGATCAAAACAGGCGAATGCGCGCATGTCAACGGCTTGGACGCCGTCATTCGATTTAACCGGAAACTTTTTTGATATGCTGTTTCCTTGACCAGAGAACGTTACTATGTCGGATTGTGTTTGGCTTCAAAAGGGTATGGCGGTCGACCAGATGCTTCCGATGAAGTCACTCTCGATTCAATGGTGATGTACGGACCGTCACACAGCGTTGGTGCTGTGGGGTATCTTCGGAGAATAAAAAACGCCGCTACTGTGGCCAGAGCTGTGATGGAGGTGAGAAAGCATCTTCGCCTGCCTGTGTTCTCCTCCTCCTTCTCTACACAGCAACCACTCTTTCAGAGCATTTGAAGGCTGCGATAGCCGTGGCATCTCCTGAAAGTTCTGAATGGCTAGTGCGACGGAAACTCCACCTAGAAGTTGCACCCTAGTCGTCCTTGAAGCAATGTTCCCGATGCCATGCTTCGTGGAGTACCTCTCAGCGCATGACTTGCTGCTGCACAACCCTGCCCAACGAGACCCACACCTTCCATAATTGAGAACTTCCGCAATTTCCCTCGAGCGTCTACAAGACCGCCTGACCCCACACTGACGGACGAGCAGTCCCGATCCAGCCATATATTTCCGCCGCGTGATTATTTTCTGCGTGTAGCCTAGTTCGTCTCACTGGAATATCGGTACACTCATCCCCCGTTCCCTGCTCGCAGCACACGGCACACACAATGCTGGCAGGTGAGGGGGCTACGCGTTTTGCGAAAATGATAGGCATTGAAGAGGACGACCTCGGTACGGATGGTTCTCACAAGGCGTACGAGGCCTGGAAGGAAAATTCTTGCCAGCCCAACTACTACAGACTTGCCAGGGCCGAAGATACATGTCCTCCATATGACCCACCCTCCACGCCATCAGCCGTTGCTGCCGATTCGAGTATTGCTGCGCTCGGAAAGCATGACAGCCAACAAGCGACTGCGTACGCTGATCGGGGTACATGGAGTGGGTTTGATGACCGTGCTCGGTTTCAGCGCTCCCGAGATCCTGCTCGATTGCTCATCTCCGAAGACAATCATGACACAATCGGTATCATCGCTGTGGATGAGCGCGGTGACCTCGCGTGCGGTACAACTACCAACGGGGCCGCGAACAAGATCCCCGGTCGGGTTGGAGACAGCCCAATTCCCGGTGCGGGATGTTACGTAGATAACGACATTGGATCTGCTGCGGCAACAGGAGATGGTGACGTCATGATGAGGTACGTTGGCACGTCCATGGCATTGCTCTCACCGCGATTTTTTCTTTGGGTCGCGAGGGAGGTAAGTGCTGGCCACGTTACTTTTTTTTTTCAACGTCTCACCAATTTCTGCGAGACTAGTACGGACGGTGCGCTTCAGCGTGCTTGCAAGTCTAACTTTTTAACTCTGCCCAATCCGCCTTTTGTATCCGTGTCGTCGGTTGTCGTTGACTATGCGGGATCTACCCGCAGGTTTTTACCCTCTTTCCGAGCTGTGGAGAACATGCGTGCGGGTTTCTCCCCACAAGATGCATGTGCCGACGCACTGTGCAGGATCGTGCGGTGAGTGTGTATGAGACGCTACTGTTGTCCCCGCCGATATTTTGTTCCTTTTCGACGGTCTAGTCGTCCGGTCCAGCCCTCGTCGACGCAGGTATCCACAGCTCAATTGGGTTTTTTAGTCAAACCTGTGTTTCTGTCCTGAATCTGAAGGTCCTGGCGGCTGAAGTTTTCGGCTCAACTTGCCCTCAAGTTACAAAATGTGTAATATCTTGCTGCCCCGCTCGTGTTCACTCGAGTGAGATTATTGCTTCCTGAGACGCACACTCTCTTAGAAACAACGCCCTACTTGTTTGTAACGCAGCGCCAAATCCTCTCGTGAATCAATGCCAGGTTTTACCCCACGTTTGGAGGGGCCTTGGTGTGCGCCAACAAAGCAGGGGTTCATGGCGCAGCTCGCCACGGCCTTTCGTTTGCATACTCGTACCAATCTCCCGGGTACGACTCTCCGCAAGTCGCCCAAGCGGTCAAGATTGACGACGAAGTTTGCGCTCGCTTTCGAAAAACGCCCTCCCAGGGGGCTGAATCGCAGATCGTTGCTAGTGCGGCAGATGGATACTGACAAGCCGGGAGAACTTCGTGTCGCGAAGTCAATCGGTACGGTTCTTTGTTCCTGTTGCTGTCTTCACATTACAAACCGTTCCGGTCTCCGCTCAGTACCTTCTAATGTCCACTTTGGTCCAGCTGACACGGAGGCCTTCCGTGGTCATAAGCCAACTACCCCAAAAAATGTGAGATGCACGATTGTGCTCTTCGGGTGTCAGGACTGATGTCCACGTGCTGCCAGGTGTAATGGGCAGCCTCAAGTGGGCCGTAACGAGGGGCTAGGAGCTCGCCACGACCGATTTTTACACAAAGGTGACCCGCGAAGCTACCAAAAGATTTCCTTGTCGTGTTGGCAAAGCTGTCTGTCATGCCAAGCATCATCTACGCAGCCTTTGGCCCCTCCCGATCTTCGCACGAACGAAACACCAAAAATGAGCAAACAGTAGGAGATGCCCTGATGCCCGGAAACAACAAACACTTCGAATTTGGAGGTCGATGCCACTGCTGTTTTTACATTCGGCTCTCATACAATAGGCAATCGACACATACGTACGGCTACCACATTTTTGTCACCAGTGCACACTTGCATATCCCATTATTAAGACGTCCACTTCCTCGGTTGTTTTTTCTGAACAAAAAATATCTGTTGCCGTGCGCGTTTCTCGGGCCTTTACCGTCACACAGCACCAATTCAGCGCTGAGTACGAAGCGTTGCACTCTGCACCTCGCCACAACCAACCTTCGATTTCCTCCTAATACGGCGGTGCGTCACACGCAGAGCGCGACGCACACGGGTCCCGCGCGATGCGCTCCGCCACCACCAACAAACGCACAACATGACAGTCTGAAGCCCTGTATAGGCTTCTGTATCTGTTGTGGGAATTCTCAGACCTATATTCGATTTGGACCCTACTTACTGTTCTAGGACCGCCTTCGCGAGAATGATATTATAAGTCAATCAATCATCAAAGGGAGGGGGGGTACCCCTTACCTAACCCCCACCCCAGTTCCGTACCCCTAGAAAAACCGAGCTTAATATCCTCGACGTTCCAACTTTTTTTCTCGATTAACAGAATCCGCAGGTAAAACGCAGATTTGCACCTCATCCTAAAACAAAAACCTCGAATCGGTCGTCGAAACAACAGAAAAAAATGCATCTGAGACAAAACATGAAGTTCAAACCAGGAACAGATGTTAATGTTGGAATCATGTCATCCTCAACTCCCCCCATTAAGGTTTATGCATTTAGCATCCGAACGCCACCGAAAACTTACCAAATCCAACCGATGTCGGCGTCGGTACCACAAAAAAATATCGTGAACGGTGCATTATGGTCATACAGCGACCTGTTCTTCCTCCATCAGCATAAGCAGTGAGCCCACAATCTCCGGGTCGAAGGTGTAAGCTGGACCCGTCTTTGACGTAGGACACTTCATACCGGGCGAACTCCAGCACTCCCGGCATCGGCTCCACCCACAAAGATTATCCCGCCATCACCGTAAGCTCCACCACCGCCGAAATCGTAGGCTCCGCCGTCCGGGCTGCCCCCCCCGGCCAACGAAGCGCTCATTCCGGCGGGTGAACTCGCGGCACTTGCGGCTTGATTCGCTCACCAGGCCCGGGCTGCACGATCGGCTGCGAGCGCTGCTGCCTGTTTCGCCGCCGCACGGCTGGTAGCCTTTGTTTCGGCCTCGGCCTTCGTTCCCCGACAGAATATCTCTGCCTCACCCGGAGTCAAGAGCGTTCTGTCGTTGATGCGGGCGTCTGCAGACAAGTAAATTGCTGCCATCTTGCCAGTCAAGTGCCAATTCAACCCTCCCAGTCTAGTGGATTGCATCGTCGCATTTTCATCCGGCATTGCCAAGCCAACTCCTCCAGAAGGTCCGTCAGGTGCGATGCCAGGTCAGCCATTGAGAATGAGCGCGCGAGGCGTTAAGTCGTGTAGGGCAAACTCCTCCGCCCGGCGGCGCTCGACAACTTCGCGCTGGCGGACTTTCTCACTCTTATACCATAGTTGACACTCCACAGCTGTCCTGGCACCGGATCCAACGAGCCGCTACACCTGTGCTCATGGGCACGTTCTCCATGCTCCGGTGCGGATCATGGTTTCACCGCAACGCGCGCGCGACTCCATCAATCGAACCGCAAATATAGAAAATATTAAGTAGAAATGTAGTCCGGCAGGTGACGATTTGTCCAACCCCCAGCAGCCCCGTAAAAAATACCGACCGCCGGGCACCCCGTACACAGTTCCTTCATCTCCATCTCTACCCGAGGTGGTGCCACTGTCAGTCAACAATTTTCAGCAACTCCACATCGAAGACCAACGTTGCGCCTGGAGGAATGTCCGGCCCTGCTCCTCGTTCACCGTAAGCGATATCGCTCGGTATGGTCAGGCGTCTTCTGTCTCCCTCGCACATGCCGAGAAGCCCTAATTGCGCATGCATTGAACGGGTCGCCCGAGGCGACGAGGGGTCATGATGAGCACGAACGAGTCCGTCTATCTTGCGTGCCGCCAACGAGCACATGTCGGTTGTCTCTATTGGACTATTCCGTGCGTGGCAACAACGAATGCTCGCGCGCTCAATCTGGGTAGACTAAACCGGGCAACATCAGTAGCCGCTGGCCACAGCATTCGGTATGCATTTCTGCCTGAACATGTGCACATGTTGTCACAAGTTGACAAAGAAAATAATCCGCTAGACAACCCACAACATATGACGCCCGCACCAGCCTTCACGGCTGCAGAGGCATCTAGTGTCCGTTTCTGTGTGAACTGGCAAGAACACGCGCTGGTAGGAGTGACTCCATAGCGGGCCCTTTCCATCCTTCTCGCTCAACTGTACGCTCTGCTTCAATGGCCAGCGTAAGAACGCATGAGGAAAAATAAAGCAAGAGACACGGGACGAAAGGGCCATAGCTACATCCGCTGCTCCACACCAAGTTGGGCCCTTGTAGAATACTCAGAAATAGAAGACGCGGAAAGCTTGCCTTCATCCCAACCCCTGATGACTTCCCCAACACCGATGGTGAAAGTAAAGGGCTCCCGATCCCGCGAGGAATCGAACTCCTGACAGTCCTTGAAGAGTACCCCTGAGTTGATGAGGGTCAAGACGACAGGAGATCATGTCGACGGAGGGAGCGAGATGGCGCTAAGGTTACAATATTGTACCATGCCAAGGACCTTGAAAGCTTCGCAGTACCCCGGCAAATTGACACAAAGTGGTGACGCGGGTCAGGTTCAGCCCGAACGATGGGTCAAAAACCGGGGCAGAAAAAATACAGTAGTAGTAGAAGGTGGAGCTGGATCTTTGCGAAAGACCAGGCCGGGTCCCTGTTTCTATAACTCTGATGGCGGATGCCCTAGCACGACCCCAGTTGGGCAAGTTCATCCGCCTACAAATACACGATGAACTTAGACTACAGTAACGTGTCACCTGTATAGTGCATCACCAGTTGGTCTCCACCGGTGCTTTTCTTGGTACAATTCTGTGTTGGCGCCAGAAAGTTGTCGGGAGCAAGCACGGCGAAGTTGTCGGTAGTTGCACGTGGTCAACGCAGAAGCTGCGCAATCGTTACGTAAGGACAGAACGCGCCCGCACGTGAGAACTTGACAGCAAAGAAATGGAGCCTCGAAAAATTCAAAAAGTATGAACTTGGCCGTAGGAAGAGGTGCTCATTTCCGACGTTGTACATGAACTAGAACCCGCCTGTGTGGTGTATGCGCATACATATATAAAATTTGCGTGCCCTTGGTTGCGTGTGCGTGTCGCGCTGGGTGCATGCAGGGGGACCATGCCTTTAACCCTTTGAGACAGTTCAGCTCGACCAAGTTTGAAAGTTCATTTTTGATCGATATGTCGGGGCGATCAAACAGCCGCATGGGTTGGGGCAGCCATGGAAATCCTCGACAACCGCGAGGAGTAGGAGTACTGAATAGTTTTTCAAAAGCGTGGGACAGGGACGACTGTGTGAGGACGGTTCAAGCGATGACCGAATCGATTTGCAGGGTTTGGGATAAACACCGACGACGAGGGAGCTTCAGAATTTGTCAACAAAGGGCGCGGGGGGGGGGATGACCAGAGGCTCGGGGACGGGGCGAATAACGTAGGGGGGGGGGCCGAGGAGACAAGAATGGGGAGGGCACGGAGGGCGGCGGCTCCAGCGACGAAGACGATGGCGGCAAGTTGGATGTTCACCAGACTCTTGCACCCCGGAACTGTCGTCGTTGTTGTTGTTGCTTTGCTTCCACATATGTCTTGCATTGATGAAGTCATCTTCATTGCAACGGTGATACGTTCTCTTCCTGTGATTTGCGATTACCCTCATTTTTGCTTTGCAGACACGACCCCGCGGTCAGAACGACGAGCTGAGTCTTCTTGATGAAGACGATAGCATGGACCCGGACGATAAGATTCACTTCATGGAAAGTCCGGACTGCTTTCGCATGCATAAGCTTCCACGCCTCTTCTCTTGACCGTTCGTTACTGCAACCGCAGCGCGGAGTACTCGTTACGCTGGGCATGAGTTGGTGAAGTGGACTTATCACTCCGCAGTTTCGGCAGCGTACCCGCCAGCTTGACGGCCACCATGTGCATTTCGAGCTAGACCAAAGTACCGTATGCGCAGCATGAAGCTGTCGTTGGAACAAAGTACAGAGGAGACCTAGATGCGGTGGTAGCATCGTGTGCTTTGCTTGAGGGGAGCACCGCAGAGCAGGGGGAGGGCACGAACGCCCAACATGACCCATATGGACCACTAAATGGTTGGATGTTGCTATTGGTGTACCATTTTCTAGGCGATGCCGCGTCTGTCTACCCTTCTACCCTACCTGCTGCTGTGTGGTGATCGCGGAAGCTGCGGTACGTTGGATCCAGGGGTCTTACTGAATGTGCTTTCTAACCCTATCTGCAAATAGGGTGTTTGCGGACGGTCTGTCCGTGATTATGGTCTTGGAAGTCGGGAGCAAGTTCGAAATTAAGACCTGAATTTGTTTCAAGTGCTTGCGAAGACCGAAATGCCCCTCCCTGGACATTTTTTGGACATTATTTGGACATTTTTCATCAAGTCCAACATGTGACGTCACGTACGCGGCCGTTTGCCCTTTATGTTGTGCTCACGTTCAGATGCACCGAGGAACTCACATGTCGCCCGTGCAGCACTAGCAATAACAACGCTGTCAAGCCTCCTTCTACCGTGAGCCATCGAACTGAAGATCTCTGTTATTGATTGCACGCTTGCTACTCCACCACGAAAGAACATGTACAGTCGTCACCTCTTGGAAGCCACACATCTTTAGGGCACAAACAATTGGTCTCAGAAGCAGGGTGCTATACAGATATGAAGTACAGGGGGGGTATCTTTTCATCAGACAGGACCGCCAAGGGCCAAAACTATGCTGCCGCACACCCGTACAACTAAGCAAAATTGATTTTGGGATGTTTGTCTTCTTGGTTCTGTTTATGTGACGTTGTGCTTGGCTTGGTAAATACTTTAAGTACAAGTTGTTCTTTGCGTTCTGCCTGTTTGTCATGACTTTCGACAGAGATTATTTCTGTTTTCGGTCGGCATACTTGTCTTTTTTTTTTGTTAGTTTCGTTTCATGAATGGATTTGCTCCTTTCCTGCTTGGCAGGTGCATAGCGTGTGGCAGAGACGACGGTGATCGCATCAGAGTTGCCACCACGATTGGTTACGTTTGTTTGGGGTGGTGAAAACCTGCATCTACCAATACCTCTGGGCAAGGTTTTCAACGTCGGGACGGCACCAAAACAAAAGATTTTTCAGCCAACAAACACAACATGAAACAGCGCACTACTGCTGTTGTCATTACCTCGTCCTGCACAGAATACCTACTGTTGGTCGAAGTGAATGTAGGGGGTGGAGAGTTTCAATGTAGCCTAAGCACGTCCAACTTTCAATCACCACATTGCAACGTTGTGATCGCGTTTTCTAGACTATCCCCCTGCCATTGCGCGTCTCTTGACGAATGCTTCATCTCCTTCGACCCCGGGGACGGTGAGTTATCTACAGGCACTTCCCCAACACGTTACAAACAAGAAAACCATGTGGGCTTGAATCTGTGCCTCCGCGGTAAAATGAAACCGCGGTACGGTAGGGCGCGGTTATCACGGAAGGAACTCGTCCCACGCATACCAAGGAGTTGGGGTACCGAGACTGCTTTGTAGACACGTCGTATACAAATACAGCACACAATGATGTAGACGTGCAATATAGTGCTACAAGGTAGAGGTACATTTGACTTCTTCCACGTTGGTACACTTTTTCTCTTGTCATGGTATGACACAACGATTATCAGCAGCCGCCTGTGGGATACACGTCACGCGATACAAATGGATGGCATCCGACTGAATGGAATGCATCTACATCGACTACATATTGTTACAGATTACAGATACCTTTTTTCTCATGATGCCAATTCTCAACGTTCCATCCGCCGCCAAATCCTGGCCGCTCCCACACTTCTTCGCATTGGTGACCCAAAGAGAGCACCCTGCGACAAGCAAGCCTCGGCAGAGAGCTGGAAGCTGCATGGCTCTTTGTCTCGGCTCGAGCTACACAGGTCCCAACGACACCATCAACCCATCAAGGTGAAAGTGCACGACGCACACCACGGCTGGGTGCCCCAGAGCCCCAGAGGCCCCAGGTCCAGAGCGGGAGCCGGTATTCGGTACATCTGTGTGCCCCCAGATGCCCCCCAAATTCCACCGCACCAGACCTTTTGCCTCACACCAAACGCACGGCGGTCTGTGGCAGGTTCATAACGAGAGCGTTTAAGCAGGAGTCAACGACCATGGCTGGGCTTGCGGAGAATATGCTGGAGATATCCAACCAAAACGAAGGGAAGACGACCAGGGTAGAATGCACCACCACCGCTTCTCCAGAAGCCTTCACCCTCGAGGTACTACTACTGCTGCTGTATGAAGTCGTCTAAAAACAGCGGTTTTGAGTTTCTCCGCCCTGCAGCAGTACTTGCGCTGTACAGCAGCGACCGCCACTCGCGTATCAGAACAGAGAGCAGAGTCATTCCACCCCCCAGTACTGTATTCTAACGGGCTAATGGTGAATGCATAGCCAGTGGGCATCACTCACGTTGGAGATCGCCTCCGGAATCTATCTAATACCCTTGGGTGTGGATCCATCCCCTCCCTGAAACACAGCGGCAGCAGGAGAGGACGTTTGGCGTCCATTCGCGCATGATGAGATGTAAAGTACGCATGGTGGGGGGAGGTGGAGATCGGTAACAACCCTAGTGGTAGCCTTCCTCCTGTGTGACCACGGCTGGTTCTCAGTCATTAGACTGGCGCCCGGAAGAGTTGGCGAAAACGCGGGTGCGCACACACGCGATCTTGATGTTTGAAATTTCGCTTTTTTTTTTTTTGTAGTTCACGTCACCTTCCCCACATTACGTACATACACAAAAGTATCCCCGCCGGCACTCAGTCGGTGTTTCCGTTTCAACCATGCATGCCCCCCTCTAACGGACGAGCTCCTCACAGCTGAAGAACACTGGATCTCCCCCCCTCCCCCCCACCCCCCCTACG